GAGCCCACAACCCGGGCATGTGCCCTGACCGGGAATCAAACCCCAGTCGCCTGGATCCTAGGCTGACGCTCAACCGCCGAGCAACGCCTGGCCGGGCTCANGGGCATGTGCCCTGACCGGGAATCAAACCCCAGTCGCCTGGATCCTAGGCTGACGCTCAACCGCTGAGCCACGCCTGGCCGGGCTCATCCTTTCTATTATGTCTTAATAATAGTTAATTAATAATGATAAATACAAATATAATAATGAATAATAATAAAGAAGCCCATCTACCTGCAACCCGTGGCTTTTCCAGTGTGTGTGTGTGTACTTATGTGTGATCCATAAACCTTCAAATAGGGAAGAAATGCATAACCACCTGCTCCTGGATTAAAAAATAGAGCACAGATGGAAAAAACGCATTTACTTATAAAAGAAAAAACTAAGAGTCACTTGGACAACACAACTTATTACCAGCACATACCTACCAGGTGTGGTCCACTGCACTTATATAATATGCGAGGTTGGTTTTTGACTCTGGAAGAGAGCAATTGGCTCTCTCTGATCCCATCTTAGATGTACTCATTGCATATGTTAAGTTTCTAACACACACATAAAAGTCTCTAATGTATATGGGTTAGCTGTTGCTGGGTTGCTCCAATGACTCTACACTTAATCAGGCCTTTGTCTTGCTGGATATGCAGAGAACAATGTTGTCTGCTTGGGAACGCCCTCTACGCGGGCACTGCTGTCACGGTCACTGGGACAGGGGCCTTCCCAACCTCCGGCTGGTGAACTGCTAAGAAGCGCCAGCTCCTGCTCGGAGGAGGAGACACGATGCTCCTGGTACGTGCCGCCTTCCCTTCGCCCAACGAATCCTGCGGGTCCAGCGCGGCTGCTCTCTGGGTACAGAAATCATCATTGCCTCTGACATGTATCCTTAAGATGTTCGCAAACGGCCTACGCAGAGTGAGTTCCCTCCTGTGTTCGCATGACTCATGCCACCCCAAGACCATTTCAGGGTCAAGCTTAGTGAAGAACGTCTGCCAGGAGATGGGGCAGTCTCCCAGGCACTTAAGCAAACTTCGTGTTGGAAATAAGCTGCCGAGGGAAATATCACCGGGTGCCTTTTCCAACGAGGCCTCTGCAACCGAGGGGCAGAGAGCAGCTGCCAAGCACTCATGACCCCCCTCCCCTGCTTAATAAAGTCACCTCTGTTTCACCAGAAATAAAATTTTATTAGTAACATGTCAAATATGTTTTAAAATACAGTTACCTTTCTTCTTCCTCTCAGTTTAAAAAACAATCCAATAAAAACTCTAAATCATGAACCAAATATTTTTAAATGTTAAAGAGACATATGTTAGCTTACGTAACAGGTACACGTTTTCCCGAATAAATGCTGGAGAACACCATCTGCTTGATATTCGGGTGCGTTTGCACAGAACAAAATTTCTTTTCTCCTTTTGTTAATGGTTCGTGACAAAGTTATGACACTATATTTCACAATAGCTATACCAACAATTTATGACCGAAGGAGAGCCTGACACAAAAAAAAAATCACTTGGCATGCTCAGGTTAGACAGTTTTTGCGACACTCTCATTTACACGGGTCCTCTGCCCCGGACTCGGGGCGGACGACCAGAGAGGGACAGGACGGCTGCAGCAAGGGGACCGTCGCCAGGGGAAGGAAGCTCGGGAAGGGGTCCGCGCGAGCAGCTGAGGGTGCCGTGCCGGTTTTCAGCTCAGATTTACCAAATTCTCCAGGCTGTGCAGCCACCCAGACGTCTCAGTTTAATATAAGGTCGTCTCAGGTTCGGCCAAGGAAAAAAAGTGCCAAATTCTTGCTAACTGAACAAACTTCCATCTCTGCCCTGATGTTACTGCCTGGCGCTCCCTTATCTGGGGGAATCGAGGAGAGAAAGTGGCCGTGTGCCATTTCCTGACGGATAAGGACGGCACATGATTGCGCCCATGTTCCTTTTTAGCTCCTTGGTGTAGAAACATTTGATAAGGGAAATAGTCTTCTGTGTATTTCACTATACAAAATATTCTCATATGTGTGGCCGATTCGGAAAACCAGTTTATGATATTTACTTTTTACTTTGCATTTCTTTAAAGAAAAAAAATTTCCATGGAAAACAGATCTGAATACATATTCTTTGAAAATACTGAGTACAGGCTCGCGTATGTATTTGGATTCCCAAAGTGATACAGAGCCTCGCTGCTCAAGATACGTCAGTGGGCCCGCAGCACCCCATCAGCCAGGTAACGAGAAATGCTGACTCGCGGGCCCCGTCCCAGACCTTCAAAAGGAATCCACACTTTAACAAGATCTTCCACGACTTGTATGCACAAGAGATTGGAGAAGTGCTAAGGCTGAGGAATGTTCTTCATCCACCCAACGATAAGTAATCCTTGGAACAGCTAGAACTACTTTAATGGGGAAATTTTGCCCAAGATGTTCAACCATGAATGCAACGACAACTTTTCAACATGGTCCACTTTAAAAAGAAACAAAAAACCCCTGAAACCTGTCACATGCTGATACATAGTACTGAAGTTTGAGAATGGGAAAATGTAAGTTAAAATTCCATATATTACATATTCATAAGCTGTTTAATTACACACAGTCTGCCATTGTTTCCAATCTAAAGTTTTTTCTTTAGCAAAAACATATACAACGGATCACTATTACAGAGAACTCTAGAAACATGAAGATCACTTTAACAGACAATTATTTAATAACTAAGCACAATAGTTTTTAAAAGAATCGTATCAAGAAACTGATGAATTCTAGTTTGATACACTCTGGAAACCCTTTCCCACAAGAGTTCAACTACACTGCAAATGGTCGCTTTCCTGCGAGTATCACATCAAATCATGTCAATGCTGGGGGGGGAGAGCGAAGAATTACCGCAGAGGCTGGACGCTGGGCTGACTCAGGGAGGAAGCCAGCGGTCCGGGGGAGGACGGCTCCAGGACGGGTGTTAAGGTATCCCCAGGGTTTATTCAAGCCGTTCGCAGCACAAGGCAAGCTCAAGAACGCTGCTCTGTTAACCTTGAACACACTACATGCAATTCTCAAGCTGTGATTTCCCAATTCTGCTTCTCCACCAAGACTCTCCTTGACATTAACATTAACCTGATTTCCCATTTTTAAAAAACAAACATGAAAGCTACAGAAGTCAGAGGAGGAGGAACTGGTCTGTGTTTGCATTTGTCTCCCGCCCTCGCCTATGGCCTCTTGGGTCCCAGGGATGAGCTAAGGTCAGCCATGCTTTCCCTCTTCAACCCCGGTTTCCTATTATGCCTCCAAGTCTAAAACATGCTGCAAAGCGGAACGCACATTCCTTTTCTAAAATCTGGGTTCACAGGCCTTCCCTTCTCCCTGTGCGGCTTCCGAGCCACAGATGCCTTTGGAGTCCTGTGTTTGAGAACCATCCCACAGTTTGGAAAAGAGAAATGCAGGTGCTACTCCCAACAGGGTTCTTGCCGTTTCGGTGAAAGCCAAACGTCACCGAGTTCCTCTGTCATCAGTGCGATGCTCAAGCAAAGAAACCGTGCGCACGGGCCTCTCTGCCCTCAACCCCGGCAAGCGCCTGGCTCACAGCAGTTGCTCAATTAGTGGTGGGGAACTGGCCTTATTTCCAAGCCCTCTAGCACTAGAATTGACCAAATCTAGGGGTGTACGTTGGAATCTGCGCGTGCATCTGAGCCTCTCCATGTACACACAGGCTCACCAGGGAGTCTTTCCTCCAACTTAATTTCTGTGTTTCTTTTTCTCATCTCCCGGGGAGCTCAGTGTCAGGACTGTTTCACAGTGATTCCACATTTCAAATACATACACTGAACAGGATCTAACCTCATGCATCTTCAGGGAATGAAAGAAAGGATAGTGCATTGTGGAGATCAGGTTTTAGATGCATAACAAAGACAGGAAAGAAAATTGCGCAGAGCAAGCAAGGAGCCCCTCCCCACATGAAACAACTTTCTCTTTCACGTACGGGTCCTGTCCCTGATTTCTCTGCCCTCCTTTTTTCCCTTCCTCACCTTTTCATTTTTCCTATTCTCTTTTTAAAATGTTCTCCATTTTTACTTGGCTGTTTGGGTACCCACGAGAATGATCGACATTACCAAAGGCACTCGGATTTCCCATCCTGTCTGTCTTCCTCTGAAAGTGGCTCTGGTCACCAGAGAAACGGTGTCCGGGTTCAAAAAAGTTGTAACTTGTCTCCACCTTTTACCTCTCCCGTAACAGAGCAGGCAGGATGGGTCAGCAGAGCAAGACTATGTAGGGTCTCCCTATAAATCAGTTTGGCTGATAAATAACATCCATCTTGTTGGTTAACTCAGAAAGTTACATAGCTGAAATACAAACTATTATTTTTGTAAAGTCAAGATAACATTAGTCAACTCATCTATGAATTGTTTATTGGAAAAGAAATTAGATGCTCTAGAAGGTATTTTTTTAAATAACTTGTTTTGAAGTCAGCATATATATTTTTTAAAAGCATATTCACAAATACTGCTGTTTTCTAAGACAGTTCCTTCTCTACATATGACTGTATAGATCGGAGAGCTGGTTAATGTCACCAAATAAACAGACTTCACCTCTCTTACTGGTTCGTTGACCAAGAGGTCTTGCTTTGTTTAAGATTTCTGACATACAGTAAATATTACAATTTCACACTTTCTTGGTAATTTTTTTCTCTCCCTCTCTCTTAAACTGCAAAGTATGTGCATTTCTCTCATCAAACAACTCTAATATGTGACATTTTTGTAAGTCACATCTATTAGCACTGTCCTAAACCAAGCCAAATGTTCTTTTCAGTAAAAAAAACTTAAACTACTGGAGAGCTAATTCTATTTTTAATTATGTGATAGTATAAGTATCCTAAAAAATTTGGAGTCTATTCAATTACTGTCCCCATTGTTTAAGAAACCTACATTTTAAAAGACACATTCTGAAAAATAAGGTATTTTCTAAGCAGTGAAATAAAGTTTCTAAACTTTGCTGCCAAATTATGGCCCTTAAATTAATTTTTAAACATCTCTATTTGTATTTCAAAGCTATCTCACCATTTATACCAAATTGCCTTTAGAAATTAACCTCAATTATAATTGTTCAGTTTGTTCTAAAGCATTTTTTTTGCCTAATTTTGATTGAGCAATTAAATATAAAGCTGATACTTTTACCAATTATATATCTGTGTTGCTTTAACAATGCATGCTGGTTAGAGTACCAATATTCTCTATACCAAAAGCATCCGTGTTAATCGCCTCTATGATTCGTTAGAGGGAGCAAGTTCTGAATCAAAACTGAAAACAAAATTCTCTTGAAGAGAAAAGGCCTTCTTGGTTATAAGATGGCTTTCAACTAGGCAAGATACAAGGCTGACACATCACCACGTTTAAATTTGCTGAAACATATGATGGATGAAGGCCTGTAATGTCTTTAATTAAAGCAGTGTCCTTGACTACCATTGTTATGTATAAAGTGCTCTGAAAGCACGTTAGTAAGCAAATCGTTCAAAACCCTTGACGATGTTCTCCGAGGTCCTGTACAATCCTTATTTAAGACTCTTATCTTGATTATCACAGTCTGTCCAGCACTCATCTTTGGGTCTTTGGTATTTTGAATATACCTTTGGCACCTAGTTTTCCCAATCTGTTTTATCAGCTAGTGACAATTATTTAAATGGTATGCTCCATAGGACGCAACTCCGGACATTGAAATCAGACATCTCACTCGAACCTCAAAGAAAATGATGAACCACTTCAAACAATTCCAGGAAATCTATGCAACTTGTTAAATAATTAGCTTTCAAGTTGCACAATAGAGGGACTTATCTAAACTTGACCACCAAAGGCATTCTGAAACATTTGTCAAATAGTGAATGGTCAACTATTATACAAAAATCAGTGCAAAGTTTCATCCAGGCAGCCTGAAATGCACTCTAAGATGATGAAGTCACATCATGGAGAATTTCTGTTGCTCTCCCCAATTTTTGCAGATAAGACTTTTTAAAAAAATTATCAACCCATTAAAAACAAATTTTGCCTGCCTACTCTTTTCCTGAGCTTCACGGCCTATAAAAATTACATCGTAAATAAAATCTAAACTCTTAACTAAAGACCCACCACAAATTTTAACTGCCCCTAGAACTTAGAGATAAGCCCATCCACAAGGCTATTTTATTATATTTCACTTTAAAAGAGAAAAATCTACCAAGACAAAAAAAAAAACAACCTAAAAGCAAAATGGAAACTGGATCAGGTTGGAGCAGTCTGGTCGTTACACTGAGCAGTCCGGTCGCAGTGCGGCGGCCCCGCCCTGAATGGCCGCTGATGCTAAAGGGGGACTGGCGCCAATCAGTGGTTTGGCACAACGCTTGGCGAGCCGAAGCTTTGCAGCAAGAACCTCCCCCTCCTCATCCTCTACAGAAAATTACTGTAAATGTGTCCCACCCTTAATCCTCAGGGACAAGATTTTATCAGTTTGAGTTGTTACTTTCTGTTACTTTCCACTGTGAGTGGCACAATTTGCAAAGAGGGGGCTTAAAAGGTTTAAATCTGTGTAAAATGTTGACACGGGTCTCTTTCCTATATACCTTATCTTTAAAAAAAAAATTGGGGAAGGGCTTCTAGAGCACTTATTCGCCACTTTATAACAGGTGGGTGTGTTTCCAATTTGACTGGATGACACTAAGGACTGCTGAGTAATAACCAGAGCTCTCTCCAATCAGTTTAGCATGCATCTCATCTTTGATCTCAAGTGCCTTATGTTAACGTCTTCACTATAAACAGTTCAGGCATTTAGAAACAAAGTATCAATGGACTTAACAGTTACTTTAATTCATTTTATAAATAAGCAACTGGGAATTCTGCTCCAAGTGGCTGCTAGTGTAGCCCATCCCATAAATGGCATTTTCCGAAGCATAAGGCACAATATGATACGAATGCAGCTCTTCGTAATAGAGCGACTGAGAACAGCATTCCTGTACCATAAACTTCAGCCGTTTTCTTGTATCAGAATAAGCAGTCTTATAACAGGGAGCTTCTTTAAAGTATTCATAGCTCTCTTTCTCCGTCTCCAGGTGGATCTTCCTCAGCAAATTGTTAATTAACACAGACCTTCTCAAGTAGGTTTCTGGGTCTTCTAGAAACCGCAGCTTCTCCAGGGACAGTTTGAGTATGCAGGTCCTGTCCTCGGGCAATATCAGGTGCTGGAAAGCAATCGCACCGTTAAATCTGCTTTTTTTTTAGAAACATGAAAACCAAAGCTTTTTGCTACTGGCAAGACTCATATAAAAATGAAAGAAGAATAAGTGAGCCCTTACTTTTGGAAAATACCCATGGTAATCTTGATGTAAATCTTCTTCTTCTGCATATTTTCTCTTAAAGTAGGCTACTTTCGACGTTGTTAATGTGTATGTTAATACTTTTGTTGGATAAGCTAAACAAAACAGAATAATTGGAGAAGAGTCAGATTTTGCAACAAAGAGTGTTTTATAACAAAAGCGCTACTTGTAAAAAGGAACAGGTGAGCCCAGAAAATCATGTTCTCTCGTCATTTACGAAGCAACATGGCAAAGCGGTCAGTGGCGATTTTCCTGTGGCCGAAAAGCCTGTTTGCAAGCAAATGCCACTATTCAGAACCAGACGAGATGTCTAGGTTGCAGAATTATAATTATTTCCTTAAGCATCTGCTCAAAAATAAAATACTTACCAATCCTCTATTTAATTTCATGCCATTTAATGTCAAAACATACCCAGATTTGAAGTCCATTCACAAAATGTAATTTTAAAAAAGCTGTTATTTTCATCATTTTTTAACTGTCTCATTTACAGCAGTAATTTAACATTTCTGGGTTAATCAAGTTGGTGTCAAATTGGTTGGTGGCCCAATTACACATTAAAGAAATAACTGTGCATGTCTATAGACAAACCCTATGACATGGCCATGGACATAACCAGCCTCACAGCGCCTGGCTTAACAGAGCCAATCATCAGGAAGTGAAAGGTTTAAATAACATCCTGACTAGCAAACGTCACCTTGGTATAATGTCTAGCAGTAAAAATCTGTGCTCTCTCCTTTAAAATACTATTGTTGTCGAGGATTCTGACTGACTTGAGGAAGGACAGTGTTCTGAGAGCAGATTTTCAGAAGCGAGATGGTTCGGTTTAAAGGAAGCTCCCAGCGTGTCCTCTAGGTGGTGCTCATATCACAGAAAAGAAGCAAGTTCAACGTCAAAGGAAAAGGCAAGGAGCTGCCTGGGGAAAGCAGGGAATGAATTTAGGCTACAGATTGAGGTCCTGTTCGGTACTCCTGCCTCAGAGGGCCAGGCCAGGCGGCGAAAGTTCGTACTGAAACATTGTCTATTTTACCTTTAATCCACACCCTCATCTATTGCTAGGTGTTAAAACCATGTGATTCACAAAATAAGCAGTTTATGAATGTGTTGGTTAAATAAATTTTTGGTTAAGACATTTGATGTTTTTCCTCTAGCATCCTAAATTTTTTAAATCATAAATATTTAAAATGTGTTTTTCAAGAACCTGCCTCTTCGAATTTTTCCCCAACTTGATGTCATTTGTATGAATGCTTCCTGCAGCTTTTTGTAGCCAAGTGGTTTTGTTCTAAACTGGTAGGAAAAGCTACAAAAATCACACCTAAAGCACTCCAAATGTTCACTTCCCCACAGTGGATTACAAACCCGAGAGAGCCTTAAAATAGTTAGCATGTTATGTAAAAAACAATAAAAATTTTAAACCACTGGTGTGCCTGACCTAAAAAGAGACGAATGTGTAATGATCACTCACGAGCTAAGCAAAGACAAGAATTGCTACTCTATGTACATAATCTTTGAACTCAATAAGCAAAATTCGGCTTATATTCAGTTTTTACAGATTTCAAAAGGTTAAAACAAAAGAACAGCAGCATTGATTGTATTGAAAACAAAGGAAGCATCATTGAAAGCAGTTTTCCCAGGGGCTGTTTTCTAGTAAACTGCATTTTCTTTGGTGTACTTTAAACGGGTTTAATCCAATAATTAGGTGAAGCTTTGGGTTATTCCGTGATGACAATCGATTACTGTGACTGACTTCTTTTTAAACTGTTTAACTAGTTGATGCCACAGCGGCCCTCAAATGGTAGCCGGCATTGGAGCCATCGGGGAGCTCCTTAGGACCCGGATTGCTGGGCCCCACCCCCAGAGTTTCTACTTCAGCAGGTCTGGGCCAGGGGCAGAGACATGACATTTGTAACAAATTTCCAGGTGATGCTGATGCTGCAGGTCCGAGGGCCACGTTTTCAGAGCCTCTGTACCAAAGCATTAGGCAAGCTCGGGAGTAGCACCACAGCAAGCGGAAAAACAGAACAGCCAGCCAATCAGCCCACTGCCGTATCATCAGAATGCCAAGCAATCAGCCTGATTGATTTCTGTTGTTGCTGTTGCAACGCTGGCTGTATTGGCTTAGATGCTTCAGCCCCATGAACAAAGCCAGGCTGCATTTTAACTAAACAGTGAAGAAAGGATGATGTCACTTTTCAACAGAATTTCCTGGGCTCACATTAAGAAGTATCAATGGCTGTTATTAGCATTACAACTGGAGAAGTCACTGATTTCTCTAAATAAGGTCCAGTGCCTTACTACAGCGTAACAAAGGATGAAGAAAGACTTGGAAATGAGAAGAGTGACTTTACCATAAGAAAAACATCATGTGTGTGTGTATATATATATACATATAAAAAATATATCATCTTTAAATGTCTGCATTTTATTTTCCAAAGCAATGCGATGTCTACAGCATTTACGACCAATTAAAAACCTTTGAATGAACGATATAAGGAAGGGCAGGTGGCAGCTTGGAGCAATAAACTGGAACCAAATGTCAAATAAAGTAAGCGATGCTCTGGGGAAGACATTTTTATTTAAGAGATCAAGGCCAAAAAAATATACCCAATGTCTCCAAGGTTCATAAAGATTCTGTCCGGCTGTATTCGAGCAGTCAGCCTAAGATTATGAATGTTTCAGACCCTGAAAATACAGAGTAAATTCTCAGGGGACTAGATTCGTGTCTCCGCTCCATGGGCAACACACTTAGCTACTTAGTTTATTGCTCTTAAAAAAACACCCCCACGGGTTGTTGAAATGCTGAAAAGCTTTCACAGCTGGTATCAGTTTGACAATTACCTCCTTGCAGGCTGTTTAGCTATTTGCAATGTTTTCGGCATCACATGTTGGAGGATGCTTTCAGCCACTTTGAGGCTAAAATATATAGCAAACATAAGTTCCTACATCTGTTTTCTTGGCTGAACTGTAACTCAAAAACCCAGACCTGGAAACTATTACTGATCACCTGGTTCAGACTCCAACTCCAAAGTCTGCAGAGGAGGAAACTGTGGCCCAGAGGGGTTCAGTGATTTACAGTCTGTTGTGCACTAAGAGTGTGGGTTTTGAAGTCAGATGGAGGTGGGTTTGAATTCCAGCTCTGCTGCTTAGATGTGTAACCTTGAGAGAATTACATCAACTCTCTACAAATCTCATTTGTAAAGTGGGGAGAGAAATAATACTGGCTCATAGGACCACTGAAATAACTCATGGCAAGTGGCTGGCACTGTGCCTAACATATAGTAAGTACTCAATAAATCCTAGCTCTTATTAGTGCCAATAGGACAGATCTATCCCACAGAAGCAAATCCCGGCCTGGCCTCCTAGCTCTGACTCGGAGCCACTTTCCATCACCCTGCCTTCCAGAGATACTAGATTATAATTAGAGAGTTAAAAGACTGCAAAGGAATTTATCAAACAGTCATATTTAAAAATATAGCACAGGGACTATAAAGGCTCCAGGCAAATATTTCTGGATTTATCGCTACCGGCCATACATTTTGGGTGAAAGAAATGTTTTTGAAACATACAGTCATTTGAAGAGTTAAAGTAACTCTGAATATCCAAAGAAGTTTGCCTGTTATAGTCCAGTAAACATGTGTAAATCTGTGTATATCAGTCTCCTGCAACTAAAAGGGGAAACTCAGCCCAGCCTGTAATTCAAATAAAGCTGACGAAACAGAGAAAAAAAAGTAAAATGACATTGTCTTCCTATACAGTGTCCTGAGCTCTGAGAACAGCATATAAATCATAAAACTGAATTAGGCTGAGCCTAAATTTATCTCTGAAGGTAAAAGGCCAAAGCCGTCTTGTATATTCAAACTGTTTTTAATGCTATAACCTCTGGGCACATGAAATCTTTCTGCTGGGCTCAATGGATTTCATAGTGTGAAACAGCAACAAGCCACAAATGAAGCCACAGGACAGAATGACCATCCCCATCACTGGAGCTCTGGCAGTACAATTTACATGTATTTCTTTAAATAAATGTTTAAAATGTAATTACAAACGATTGCTCAAACGCTCTTTCTTACTGTTCTGCTTCTGCCTCCAGACAACTGAAACCCTATTATTGTGCAAGTGATTTCATTTGGTACACAGCCCCGGGGCAGTACATTAAGGAAAGATCATCAGCAAATTAATTTACAAACACTTTGGAAGAACAGACAATAATAAAAGAACAACTCTTGTCATCGTAACCCGTTCTTTGTCCGAGGCTGTGAAAGGCCCGAGAGGTGGTGAAGCACCAGTGAGTCCAGCGCATCTGAATTTTGGTAAGGTTTTCATTTTCCTTCAGTCACACACTGCCAAACCAGCGCTGAGAGCATCCCGGTGGCTGTGTGCGTCTGCAGCCACAGACAAAAGGAGAGTCTGGTCCACGGGGAAATAAGGTGGGTTCTAGTCTCAGGTCAACAACTAACCCATGCTGTGGACAACTCAGGGGCCTTGGCTTCCAGTCTCCCATGGTTTCCCTTTGTATGGAGTTAGCCTGGCATGAGCCTTAATAAGAGCATGTCCCTACCTATCTAAATAATGCTTTGCTGGTGGCAAAGCTACCGGACAGCCTTCTTTAAGGGCCATGGCCACTTTTTAGAAAGAGCTATCCCATCCGTCACTGTTATTCACATTCTGTAATCCTGCTGCATGGCTTAACATACATACTTCAGCAGGATTTTCTAGCGCTGCCCCACAGTGCTGGTTCAAATCCCAGCTCTGCAGTTTATTTGCTTAGCGACTTTGGGCAAAGTATTAACCTCAAAGAGCCTGAGTTTCCCCATCAAGGAAATATAAACTCACTGAGTTGTATGCAAGTTAAATGAGATGATGTTTTAAAAGCACATACTCGGTGCCTGTCGTAAATCCACGTATTTTCTGCTCAATAAATGTTAGGTACTATTATTGCAGTGACCTTGCTTTTAAAATCACGCATATATTCTTCCCAGCAGCACTGGGTTTGTATATGGGACATCTGTCCTCCCTCTAGTGTTAAGCACAGGCTGCCTGAAGCACTCCTGAGTGTATTCAAGGACGGACATGGGTGCAGCACCCACGGTTGTAATGCTATGCCATCTGTGGACCTTCAGTTTTGTTTATAATTCATCAGTCTTCTCCCTCATAAGTCTTTGCCAGGCACCTTTCTGGGAACTGTGTTCCGTGGGAGCAGAACTCAGGGCCAGTTTTGTGCTCTGAATCATGGACAATCACTTGCTTCCCATGTATCATCTACCCCAAGCACAAGGTGCACTCTACGGACAGTTTAAAATTACCAACGAGCTGCAGCTCCTGGAAGACTTTCTTAGGAACTTTCACTGGGAAGCTGACAGCCAGCGAGTTAGAAGGGTTTCTCAGCAGCTTTTGGGACAGCCCCAGTTACAGGCAAAGAATATTAAATAAAATGCCACCAATTCCACAAGTGTCTCCTGTTCCACTAGTGATGGCCTCGGAACCAAAGAGAAGAGCATTAAATGGGATATGACCAGCCACGTGGTTATGAATTACCTTAGACGCTGCAGAAAGCCTAACTTCTGCCGTGAGCTGGCCCTCGCAATGACAGACACCAAGTGCTCTAGGTTTCGTGGGTGAACCGTGGGACTCACCCCTCACAAGTGCATTCCTTGTTTTGAAGATTATGCTCCCTCTCTCTCCACCTCTCACTTTGGAAAGTGGAAATAAGACATTAGCAAAGCAATCGCATGGCTATATATAGGTTCCAAGAAGTATCTCACCAACAGTGTCTAGGGAGACGCTCTCGCTGCCTCGGGTGCCCGCGTCTGTTGCTCAGAGAGGAGGGCTGTCACCCCAGTACAGAGAGAGGGGTGGTCCTTAGGGAAGTACTTGACCTGTATCACCCGCACCATCTTCCTCTGATACCACCGTCGGGTCTGAGTACCTCACCCAAAACATTTAGCCAGGTACCCCAAAGGGTTGGTAGAGAAACACGAAATGTAACTACTCATTAACAACTTGACCCACTGAGGGTATCTGAGGATTTGCTCTGGAGCTGGGTGGTTCTCTGTCCTCACTCTCATGGTGCCTGATTTGTGTCACCACCTGGAGTTGCTCTAGTGGCGAAATGTTCTTCATTCCCAGGGTGTCTGTCTTCTAGGTGCTGTCGGTGCTTCATTGAATTGCATTGCGTTCAAGCTCAAGCACCCCACCTAAGTTAATAATAGTCGGTCTATCTCCCGCATACATGTAGAGAAACTGAGCCATGAAGTGGTACCACAAGCAGCACATGGGGGCAGCATTGAGACGAGGCTCCAGAGTCCGGATTTCCTTTGCAAATCCCCAAATTTTCTTGATATTTTTGATCCTTGCTCCCTTTTTATAAGCATTTAAAAAATAATACATACTCTTATACACCACCGCAGAGAAGTGCCCGCTTCAAACCTGCCCCTCCTCCCCTTCTAAACATCACTGGTATGGAGAAGATACTTGGGTCTCGGCCTACCGAGAAGACTTTCTGTTACACTTTACATATAATTTATAATATGAAAACGTTTTTTTATTCCAAATATAAAGCTATATTACAATACTGAACATAACACTAGCCAACCCTTAGTGCTTTTCATTAATAACCTCCTACCACCCCAGTGAGAATTAGAGCAGTAAACTAGATGGCTCTGTTATTAGCCTGTTTGTAAAAATTTAATCAGAAAAAATAAAACATAATTGGGTTAGATTAAAAGGAGAAAGTACTGATACTATTTAGACAGACAACTTACTAGAAAATAAGATGTGGGGATGGGAGCTTGAGCAGGATCGGCTTCTCCTAAACTGAACCGTGTACTTCTCCCTCAGTTTTAGTGCCCAGTGATTGCGGTCAATTTCCTCCTCTGCTTCTGAAATTATTCTAATTTCAGCTTTTGCTGGGTTTCTTAAGCACACTGCTCTGACAAATAGAGCAATATGAACTGGCCGTGCCTTAGCTTTGGAGCTATTGTTGGGAAGTCGGTGTCTTGGCAGCAAAAACAGCTGGCACAAGTCCCCAGTGGAGAGCCCAGATGCAGGCAAGAAGCCTCCGTGTCTTCATCAAACCTTTCAACTTCCCTCCACGTTTCAAAGCCTCTTCTTAACCTCATGACAGTAACATGACATAAAATTGAACATGGAATGTTCATAAAGACCTAAAAACGTCCAACTAGAGTTAGAAAAAACTGAAACGAGGGCGGTTTCAGTTATAACCAGACTGACCTCAGCTTTACCTAAGCCTCCTAGACCACAGTCTACCCCCCTCTATAAGCCACGGTCTGCTCGTCACAGCTGGTGTTCCCATTGATGAGGGGCTGCATTCTTAACTGGAAAGTGGTGGAATCGTTTCTCACACTCTGACTTAGGATCCACCAATGTCTCTAGGATTAAATGCTTATATTATAATGATTCTATTTGATGATTTATTTAAAGCTAAATACCACGATAACATTTTCTGGCAAATGATTTTAAACAGATCTGTTCTTCAAAAGTACACAACATATAGTCTGCACATTATACATTCATGATAAAATCACAATAAAAATGTAAGAACCTCTTTTATTTGACCTTTTTTATTGTGACCATGGTCTTCATGAAAGGACAGACTCATTCACATAATTAAAGGCACTGAATGATTTTGAACTTCTATGCATGCTACATAAAAAATAGGATGAGTGTAAATTACTAAACACAAGACTAAGGCATATGCATGAACCAGTACTTGTGGCTGCTTTACTCCAACTTCCCTCAGATTGACAGCATGGTTAGATCCCTACAAACATCTCACGGTGGATGACAGTGAATCTTTCTGGTCTCCTTGGATTTGTTTCTCACCATAAAATGTAGTAATTGTGATGGAGAAAGAAAAAAGGGTGGGCTGTGCTACAGACTAATTGAAACCTACACCTGTGATGGTTCAAATGGTCATCTTTAATGCTTAAAATGATATTTCAATGCCTGTGGAGACCAGCACTTCTGAAGTCTCACGATATTCATAAACACTATACTAACGTAACTAACATAATATTGTATATCAACTATACTTAAGTAAAATAAAAACACTATACAACCACCAGGACAAAATAAATTTTCAAATAGGTTTCTGAGTAAAATTGTTCAATTATTTATTTTTACAAAGAGAAGGAAGGAAGGGGGAGAAAGGTAGCATGGCACATTTTCATGAACTTGGTTGTAATTTGCTAGGCTGGTTGGTTACCTACAGGAAGCGCACATGGATGGCTCAGTGCATGTGAAAGTTACACAACGCTGGAGGGCTGAACACTCATTACAAGACTGTATTCAGTCTTGAAAATTGAGTTTAAATGCTTAACACTGATGGGTTTGTATCACCATGACCTTAATGCAAATTAAATTTAAAACATCACCACAATCTTTTTTGCAGCTTAGAGTTCTCTTCATTGCCTCCATTCAGACATGCACTGGGGTGCCGAGCGGGCTTCCGCCTGGCCTGTTCCCTGCGCCAGGCTACCTACTTTGGCTCACCCTGCTCACACGGGTCTAAGAGAGGAAGACCTGCCAGCCCACAAATGTGCTTTCTACAGAAAACCTCTATTGACTTCTACCCAGCAACCATCTATATAAACAACCCCTTATATTGATCTTGTAAGTTATGGTAATGCTACATTAGCATTTATTTCTCTGGATACATATTTAAACAGTAATTTCTTTCAAGCCAGTGATTACCTGGTAATGCTGAATCAATCTGAAAAGCGTATTTCTAGGACAGCTTCAGAAACTCTGGTGAGAGTCCCCCTTTGCACAGTGAGCATTTCTCACAGCCTCCGGCTCATGAATGAACGGTTACCTGAGATTTTGAAACAAGGAGACAAACACGAGTGACACGGGAAGCGTCAGGACTGCACCGGTTGCCCAGTCAGGAGAGAGCGTTTACTAGGAGGACACTGAGAGGTTTTGAGGTGGGGCTGATCTGGACCAGAGAGACAAACAGATAAACTTCTGAATGCACAATTAATTTAATCTCCAGATTTCATTTCAAACATGAGGAATCTTAACTACCCCAAGAAATCTGGAAATAACTGAATAACTGAACTCACTGGTAGATTATCAGGAGGTTCGCTTTTTAAAAAACCAGAGTCAGAGATACGTAACTTGTTTTCAGATGCCAGCGTCTGTGTAATGTCAGAAAATACACTCTCCCAAGGAACGATCCAGCTGTTAACTCAAAACACACCCACTCGCTCCTTCTCTGGGATGCACACCATTTCTCACAAGATCTGAAATAGGCGAATGGTGCTTTTCTTTAACCGGCACGTCTAGCTGCACCTTTTCTACAGGGCATGTGGGCTCCCAGAGCCCATCGTCTTCTATCTTGAGAGAGCCGAGCTTCGGGGGGAGATGGGCAGCCAATGGGGAGACCCGGCAGGAGAGGTGAGTTACTATGGTTACTTTTCAGGAACTGAGTAAAGGGCGGGCTGCTCCCGGCCAAGGGGACCCTGTCCAGGGCGGGACCTGGGCGGGTGCCGCTCTCCCTGCCGACTCGAGGGTGCGGGCTGACACGAGGTCACTTCAGCCTCCCCGCGGCTTCCCACGGTGGCCGCGGCTTCCCACGGTGGCCGCGCCTGCAGCTCTCCCGGCCCCGCAGGCAGCCCCGTCAGGGCAGAAGCAGGGCTGAAAACTTCGAGCACAGACCTTAGGCGGCGCGGGCAGGGAAGTCCTCAAGAACCACGTTCCAGCATTAAAAAAAACACACACACCAAAAACCCGAGTCGGGATATTTGGGGCCACCAGCTGACCACCTTCCAGGGGCCGGGGCGGCATCTCGAAACACCTCCCTGCCCTCGCCCGCAATGAAAGGGGTCCCCTCGGAGCCTCGCGGAAGGCGCCTGGCCGGGGGCGCCCGCACCTACCTGGCGAGCTGGGTCCACTCACGCGGGAGAG